GAAGATATTGCAGACATATTTGGTAAGGCAGACAAGAACAAGACTGGAAAGCTGAGCGTGGAAGATTTTAACGAAGTAATTAATGATATTATCGAGAGGTATCCACAAGTGGAGCTTCACTTGAAGAGTAAAAAGTTGAAGAATTTTGTCCAGTTGCTTCAAAGTGATAGAGGGGATGCTGCAAAACAGGCAACTCGTCTGGATTTGAGAAGTTCAAATCAGCACTTTCTGAAGTCGATCATAAAATGAAGAGTCTTCCTCCAACAGCACAGGTGAATTTAAATGAGAATCGTTGCCTAGATGCATTGTTGGGTTGTATTGAAACCATTCAACAATGTACCTTGGTACAATTTCCAAAAGAGAGAGAGAAAGAGAGAGAGAGAGAGAGAGATAGATCTATAAGAATTCAATTAACTCCTCTCTTGTTCATCAATATAATATCTCCAGAATAGGAGGTCTTTTAATCGACTATTGGAACAAATGTTATATGTCTTAGGTAGCGGCTCAACAAGGTGAATACCTAGCCCAGTGTTTCAACCGCATGAAGGAGTGCGATGAGAATCCTGAAGGTCCAATAAGATTCAGAGATAGTGGTCGCCACCGATTCAAACCGTTTAGGTATAGAAACTTTACTAGTTTGTCCTACTCATAGTTAATACTATATCCTTTTTTGTTCCAAACGTACGATTGCCATTTTTGAATAATAACCTAGCTATATTATTTAAGGTACAAACATTTGGGCCAGTTTGCTCCACTAGGTGGTGAACAAACTGCAGCTCAACTTCCTGGGGATTGGGTTTCCATCGGTCACAGTACACAATGGCTTTGGTACTCTGTGTATGCAAGGTAATATCTTGTTATTTTTTTATGTGGTTTTGTTACTTTCTAGTTTCTGTTTTTTGTTCTTTAACTTTCTTTTACTATCCATGACGACTAATAAGAAGTAGGAATAAATGCATAAAACACGAAAGATACTAGTTTCAGGTGAATTGAACACACTTTAGGTTTTCTGTCAGCCGTTGCAACCCATGAAAAGTTGATAGCAAAGATGAGATTCAAACATAGAACTTATGACACTTGCACAATCTAGAGGTGGCAAATACGGTGGTTGGGTAATCGGACAAAAGTATGCGACTTTTATGAATGGGTTGGGTGTTGATTAACATTTTTATCAATCAATTATTTAAATCAATACTTGATATAGACGATGTTTGATATATACCTACAAGTAATATAGTCATTTTTGATATTAAGCCTCTTCATTCACCACAATAACCAAAGAACAATTTATCTTAAATTAGATAGACAACTTAATCCATATAGGATTTGATGGAAAAGGAACTAAACGACCTTTAAGTTAAGATGTATTGCATGATCATATTCAAAAGTAAGTATACTATGCTAAGGTCCATTTCCAGTTGTGAACTCTTAAATGATGCTTAATTTCGTGGAATAAATGCAGCAAGCTAGTGAGTTGGCGCACGAGGTTCTTGGTGATAGGCGACTGGGGAAGGAGATTTGTTTTTGGAAGGGACTCCAGCAGAATCTAGGCGATAATTGAAAGCAACGACATCACATACTCTTACACAATCAACACTTCAATTAAATGAAGAATTTTGTTGTGGTTTCGCTTTCTAGTGTTGTTACCACTGCTAGTTATTTTCAAAGTTTATGTAGTTCTATTATGCTTCTTTCAGCCTCTACTGCTGAAACTCGTTACAAAGAGTTAGCATATAAGGTTTTGTTATACACGTCTAGACTATTTATGATTGCTTCAAGAGAAATTAACAATTTGTATTTTGAATAATTTTCAAACAATGGTCAAAAGTGAGGTTTCTTGTTCTTCAATTGAATGTTTTGGTGTTGGACCATTTTTATAGTTGGGTTAAATGCATGAAATAGCAACCTACTTTCATAAAATTTCTTATTATAACATTTTACTTTTGTTTTTCTTTGTTACAGCAATGTACTTTAAAATTATTTTTTATTAAGACATTGTACTTTAAAAAATCTACCATAATAGCAATGAGTAACCTGTTACATTTTAAACCGGTTAACCCTTTGACTTTTTTGCTTGTGTGACTTTAATGAGGTGATGTGGATGACACATCATTTTGATAATTTTAACTAAAATTAAAAAAAAAACCTATTTCAAATTATTATTAGTAATTTTCATTTTTCGTTGCTATGATCTAAAAAAACATTTAATTTTTTTTACTTTTTCTTATTAAGTTGCATTCAAATTAAATATTCTTAGAGCAAAATATTTATTAAATAAATATGAAACATTATTTTTGAAATATATTTTGTTTGTAAAAAAGGTAGCTTTTCCTATTTTATGTTGTTCAAATAAATACATATCTTTTAAAGTTACCTTTAAAATATTAACGAAANCCTTTTTCAAAATTGTATGAAGCTCATCAATCACTTTCCAAAACTTCTTTCCTTTCAAAATTTAGACAAACTTTCAGAGTCGCTTAAGATTCCCCCAATCGTTCTTTGCAAAACCTTTTTTGCAAGCCGAGGTCTTCACATAAATAGCCTCTCTACTCCATGAAGTAGAGGAAAGGCTTGCATACATCTTACCCTCTCCAAACCCTGCTCACTTTGGGATTTACTTGGTATGTTTGGTTGATTAGATTGGCTTTCTAGATGATTACTCATGTTTCTTTTCTCTGTTTCTTGCAGGATGCCCTAAGGACATTTTTGTTACGGAAGCTTGATAATCTTGTGAAAGATGACAAATGTCAAATAATGATGATATCTACATGGGCTACCGAACTGTACCTTGACAAGGTTTTTCTTATCTATGGTAGTGTTATTTGGATTATTGTGTCTTGGTAATTCCAATTTTTTGTTTATTATCGCCAATCTACTTAGGGGTTACAAGGAGCAAACTGTGAGATGGAGTTTGATCCTTTATGYTGTGTTCTCGAAACCTTTTTTACGAAGAAAAGAAAAGGAAAGGAAAGGGAGGGAAAGAGATGGAAAGTAAACAAACTCGTGTTCTCAAAGTTCTTTTAGGAGAGAAAGGAAAGGAAACGGAGGAAAAGAAATCATAAGTTTCCTCCCAAAACTTTCCTTCCACATGTGGAAGGAAAGGGAAGGAAAGAAAAGAAATTAAAACCCTTTTATTAAAATTACAAGACTACCCAACCTTTCATAATAAATAACGTATTTTTTAAAGGGTATATTGTAAAAAGGACACCTTTTCTTTTCTCACTCCTGCTGAAGAACATGAAAAATTGTTTCTTTCTTTTCATTTCCTTCATTTTCCTCCCCTTTCAAGAACACAAATAAGAAAACTATCTTCCTTTTCTTTCTTTTCCCCCTTTCTTTTCTTTTCTTTCTCTCTATATTCGAGAACACAGCAAAACTGCTAAAATTATATTTCATTGCGGTAGAAAACTGTTGAACACTGACAAAATCATGTTGAAGTATATCACAAGTATTTTCATATGTGATTTCGAGTAATGTGCACCACTGACCTGACGTCCTAGGACCTGATATCTTCCAACTTCATCGAGCCATGCCTCTTTTGTAGGATGTTGTTCGTCTCTCAAAGAAACCCAAACTGAGTTATTTGGTGTTTAGATGAGATATGCCACTTCAAAATGTTGAGAAGCTAGACGCGTCACAGTGTCCTAGTAATCAAGGTTACAAAAAGGTGCATTTTTTTGCATTAATTGTTTTCTTGCAGGATTTTAGCATGAGCATTGGTAAATTAAGTGGATGTAGGTCYAGGAGATTATCACAMAAGAAAGCCAACTTCTCCAAAAGCACTGCTAGTTTCTATGGCTTTCTTTCAAACTGCATGAAGTACAAATTAACATAGTGGGTCTGTGCTATGTTATTTGTACAAACCAGGAGGAGAATAGTGTGTTCTTGTGTGACTCTAGTACTGCGGCTACCCTGAGTTCCCACTCACATGCCATTATCTTGTTCCACAACATTAGACCATCAAATCTCTGATTCATATTGCTAAAAATCTGAAACTAAAAACCAAGTCTCTGACCTCTTGAACTTGTGTTTCATCTGTCTCGTTCATATCCTTTTGTCAGGATAAAAGAAAAGTCATGGAGATTTTATGTTACAACAGGAACCATAACCAAATCATCATACCTGATAAAATACCTAATTCTGAATATTGATCAACTTTTAGATGAATTCCGTGGATCTTCAATCTGAATGTAGATCTTTTTTTGTTGGGTCATTGACCAGCATCCTCCTAAATTGAAACGTGGCGCTGGCTGCTACRCTATAAGGAAATAAGTTGCGCCTTCTCCATTAGCAATTCCTTTTGGTGTAATGGTAAGCGCTTGGATCCTAACATGTGGTATCAGAGCAGGTCACGGGTTCGAATCCCATGGAGTGCATAATAATGCCAAAGGCATGTTGTGTAGCCATTGTCTTCTAGCGAAGATCTTGTTAGTGCTGGCAGATTGGTGGGGGGGGGGGATTGTTGGGTCATTGACCAGCATCTTCCTAAATCGAAACATGGTGCTGACTGCCACGCTATAAGGAAATAAGTTGCGCCTTCTCCATCAGCAGTTGCTTTTGGCGTAGTGGTAAGCGCTTGGATCCTAACATTTTTAATATTGATTTTTAATCYGTATACCACCAAGATACGAGTTCAACTAGAAATTCTAGACTACAGAATGCTCCCTCAAACGCACTCCAGCCACCGAGTTTGTTGGCATACCTTTGGAAATTCATCCTAGTGTTTTTCAATGACAGCTTAATTTATAGCCCTGACCATCAACTGTCAAAACATCTTAAAAAACCATTCACTTCCTTTCATTGGTTTATTCAATGTGAATCCTAGAAAATGTTTGTTTTGCCTACCTTAGATCTTTCTTAGTAATGTGCTTCCAGAAGAAGGTGGGGCACTATCAGCTGCTTTAATTGACCGCTGCCCTAAAATGTGAAGGAACTTCAAGGTTTCTTGGGTCTCACAGGTTACYACCAACATTTGATTTGGAATTATGCATTGTGGCTTGTCACTTGACTAATTTGAAGTAGAATTGTGGCATTCTTGCTCGTCTCTTGGAGGATGAAGTTTTCTTCATTATGATTAAGTTGTCTACTAGAACAGTTGCTTGCTTGGTTCATTGAACTTCTTACTGAATGCATTTTGTAATATTCTTGTGTAACATGCACATGTTTAGCTGGAGTACTCCCTCCATCCTATAATGAGGGTTCACATTTGATTTTTCAAGTGTCACAGGGGTTGTCTTTGTATATTGAGTTACCACATCTTCTCATTGTTTGTTTTCATATGTATATTGCTTTAATTATTTTATTTTATCCTAGTCCCATTCTCTAAATTCATWTTTGAAAACTTACTATGGTCAACTCATTCTATWTGTGATGTATTTAATTCTTAGATCAATAGACTACTGCTGGAAGATGACTCACCAGAGACCCGTAATTCAGAATATCAATCTATCATTATGGAATTTCGTGCTTTTCTCAGTGATAGTAAAGATGTGTTGGATGAGGCAACTACAATGAAGCTACTTGAAAGGTTCATATCCTACTTGATGTATATTTTCTGTTAGTGACCCCCTAATTTTCCTGTTTTCCATTTCACAGAAGTAGTGACCTAAAATTGGCAACAGTTGACCTGCCAAGTAGTTAGATTCTAATTTCAATTTATCAGAGTAGATGAGAAGTTGACAGATTGTCAAGTGCTTGGCATAATTTGTATTTTATGCTGGAGTATATGTTTATATCCTATAAATTATCATCTTCATGAGGTAAACATTGAAATAGACGGTGACTCTTGAAAGTTGAATGCTTGGGGAAATTTATTGGGGAGGAATAGGTATTGCTGTCCATCCCACCCAACTCGCCTAATACTTCAACTGCAATCTCTCATTTCATTCAACTAGCTTCTATCTATGTTTATTAATCTTTTGAGAGATGARATTGCCATCATAGGATAGACTGGAAGTTGTTTCTGTTGGTCTTTCTATGGTTATTTTGCCTCTTCCTTTTATTCACTTCCTGGCCATCTCTTGTTTTTTTATAATTTTTGCATGTTTCAATATTTTGCAGCTATGGTAGAGTTGATSAACTGGTATATTTTGCTAGTCTAAAGGAACAACATGAGATTGTGGTTCATCACTACATTCAGGTTGTTCTTGAACTTCAAAAGAAGAGTTTTAACACACTGTTTTGCAGCTTATTTATTCATATCCAACCTGTGGAGCATTCTAGGGGAGGGGGTGGACATCCCCGTACTCTTGCATGATATGTCAAAATGAAAGGAMAGAATCACATTAGTACAAAGGCAGTATATAGGGTCAAGTTTGTACAATTTAAGCAAAAGCAAAGACGAAAGGATTAGGGGCCACCTTTCATTCACCAAATATATTCAYACTTTTAGTAGTAGAAGGAAACTCACTTAAAGATAAAAAGATCTAATATCACGACCATCCCTATTTTGTTGGAGAATTGAACCTCTATTGCCTTCATAGAGAATTGAATGGAATTAATGTCTTTTTCACCTCAGAAACTATAGGCAACTTCAACAAAAAGAAAGAGGATGTCTGAAGCTGTGATGTTAATCATTGAATTTGAGACTGAATGCAGAAATTTTGAATTCTAACTTTTATGAGGGAACTGTTGTGGGAATCCAATAATTAAGATAGAGATATATTCTGGAGGGAAAGTGACCAGTCCAGTTTTAACATGTATTCTGTAATTCTTAAAATTAATTACAACCCGCTATTTATACTAGTGTTCAACCGACTCTAGGGAAATAGCAAACAACTAACTGAGCTATTAG